GTAGACGCGTCAAAGTCGCTTTGACAAAAGCTTGGGAGAAAATTATGGTGGAAACGTGTGCGAGAATCGTAGGACATTTTAGCAGGCGACTTTGTGAATGTATAGAAGAACAAAGGAAGAAGTTTCGAGAAGCTCTCATAATCCTGTCAATAAATTGTTATGACAGCTGATCTAGTGAACGTCACCATTCTTCTAGTTATATGAAATCTTTTGCTTATGTATATTTCTTACTGTTGAAATATGTGAAGAAATTATCAGAAATTCTTACGCACCCTGTATAATAACGCAAGCTCCGTCGGCGTTCCATCAGACTGATCGTATTTGTACTCCTTCTAACAGTCTTTCTTCTACATTGTTTATCTTATGGAATGGTCAGCTACACAAATGCAGGAGTAGACTCAGCACTGGAAACATTTACTCTTTTTCCATACTTCTAAACCCTGACAACAACGTAGTTGGATAAGAAACCACGCAACGTATAGCGAATAGTAAGAAATGTTAAGGTCTTTGATAAGTCTACGATTTGGCATCGCTCCCTTTTTTTCCCACAAGGAAGTTACGTTAGATTGAGCGTCATGCATGATGTGTTAACACGTCGCAATCACACTTATTTTTCCTCTACACGCAGACTGACTCATATCTGACTCCTGTCGGCCCAAGGTGCTTTTCCATAGGAGGAATATCAAATAGCTTTCTAGTTTATAGAGAGAATTTGCGCCACACTATTTGCAAGACAGACAAACATTTTTTATATATTTCTTTACAAGAGGCACGAAAGTCGCCACATAACGCACGAAGAAGAATAGAGGTGCTACAGAATTACTGTAATTACTTTTGTAAATTGTGATATACAACCCTGGATTTGCCCGTTGGATCCTGCTGCAACATTTTTTTATCAAGGCATACGCTGAATACGAAACTACCATGGATCTTGCTTAAGCTTCTAAAAAAGTAGTGGAAGGGGAAGTTGCTCATATAGTGCACTATGTGTTGATGGTGTTGGCAAAAAGAAAAAACCAGAAAACAAATAAGGAAGTGCAGCAATATGGAACCATAGCTAGCCGTTACAGGATAGAAAGGTGAAAGTCACGCAGTCCTCGCGAACATCATCAGATCATTACGTTTGAGGATTTATTGTTGACAGAACGACGTGAATGACGTATACATGCGATCAAGAATCACCTTTCTGTCGTCAGCATCAAAAAATAGCATCTTTATGGTTCTAATCATCTAATTCCAAAGTTATGGCAGCAGCTGGAGGGTGCAAGAAAAGCGATGAGCAACAAGGCTAACGAAATGTATCACGTGGTGCAAAAAGTATTGAACATGTGCATCTTCTCGTCATGGATATGTCCGTTGCGTCGGCGTGAAAAGTGTAAAGATATATAATAAAATATCGTGACTCCAAGGAACTGAAAAATTGAAGATGTACAACAACGAGGACAGATTAATGAGTAAGCCTTTTTTCAACACTCACTGAGTACCTTTATTTCGAGTGCTTTGTTCAAACCACGCTCAAATTTCAATATATCCTTTCATTATTGTTTGAGCCGACTTGTCATGCGGTCTGGTAAGGGCTTTTGTACAGCCCGATACACGTGTTTCTTCCTTACAGACTCGTCAGCCGGGCAAAACCGTCGTCTGTCGATCATTTTATGGTCAATTTGCCTGATAATTATTATTTGAGCCACGCATGTCAGTGGTCTGTCAATGAGGGCTGACTTATAGAGCCCGGTACACGTGTTTCGATCTTGCGATCTCGTCAGTCGGGCAGTTACCCTTTCTCGTCTTTTGCTAATCTCTGATGGTGCTCCAGCTCCCACAATAAGAGTTAGCGACGACGTACGATTTACACTCTATGTTCAGTGAAGAACTCACCAAACACAGAGACATTGACAGACCACTGACATGCGTGGCTCAAATAATGATTATCAGGCATATTGAAATTTGAGCTGTGGTCTTAGGAAAACACTCGAAATGAAAGATATGTTATTTTTATAGTCAGTTCCCTCGGGAGCCTTACACTCCTTATAGAGTGTCATCGACGACGTACGCTTAACACTCTATGTCAAGTGAAACCTTCACCTAACCCAAAGTGTTGTGCACTCGATTGCTCATTGGCTTGAACTTTTATCATAATTATACCTTTATTTCGAGTGCTTTGTTTAGACCACGCTCAAATTTCAATATATCCTTTCATTATTGTTTGAGCCAACTTGTCATGTGGTCTGGTAAGGGCTCTTTCACAGCCCGATACTAATAAAGCACTTGAATCAAAGGTATAATTATGATAAAAGTACCAGCCAATGAGCAATCGAGTGCACAACACTCTGGGTTAGGTGAAGGTTTCACTTGACATAGAGTGTAAAGCGTAAGTCGTCGATGACTGTCTATAAGGAGTGTAAGGCTCCCGAGAGAACTGACTATAAAAAGATCGACAGACGACGGGTTCTGCTCTGCTGACGAGTCTGTAAGAACGAAACACGTGTATCGGGCTGTACAAGAGCCCTTACCAGACCACATGACAAGTTGGCTCAAACATAAATGAAAGGACTCATTGAGTAGTTTACAAAACGAATCCTTGTAATGTAATAATTAAAACTAGATATCACAAAATGGGAAGTCTTATGCTCACAATTTTTAGTGTTGCAGAAAAATGAGACCCTTTTTTTCAATCTTCTCAGACTGGCTCTTATCAGTTTATCAAGTGCTTTTTCTCGTTTTTCTATTTAAGATGGCTGGTGTGGACGCTGTGGTTAGAGGTAAGCTACGTAATACACGTGGTCATGGTTCGATCGCTCGCCCAAGGCGCCCTAATCCTTTCATTTTTTGAGGGTCGGAGAATTGAAAACATATATGCCTGCGAGTATATCAGCACTGATGCGATGCATAGGAATGTTACGGCGGGTTAATTTGTGTACCAAATATGCTTTTACTAACCTCTAAATTTTTTATGAAGTCGAGTACATGGTTCATTGTGCAGGGATTGATTGTCGCCAAGAGCTTCAATCTTTATTCCATGTATTTCATAGCAGAGGCAAAAAATATGTATAAAACCCTATATGTGCAACATAGTGATACCTACGTATCATGAACTTACTAATGGAAGTGAGATTTGGGAAACTTTATGAAAAGACATCACCAGACTTCTTTGAATTGTAGCCCACAATAATGGGACAGAGTAATAGAGATATAGAAATGAAGAGCTCAGTGTTTGCGTAAAGCAAAGGAAAGGATAGACCACCAAGCATTGACCAATCGATGAAAGCTACACCACGCATTCGACTTCGTTTACCTTTGTTAAGAGTACTTGAATGCATTCGTCATTATAATGACTAGCATTGGCTTACCAGCCAACTCACTGCTGCTTCAAAACTTGTCTGTTATGAACTTACCGACTCCACAGGATCGGAAAGGTTGCTGAGCCTGGTTTGGATCAATACAACAACCCTTTGTATTAGAGGGTGCCTCTAACCACTGTTCCACAATCGCCTTCGTAGTGAATATGCCTGTCCTTACATAGAATCAGCATTCTTACAGTTGAATACAAATTTCAGCCACTTGGAGGTTTGCTTATTGGCAGGACAGTTTTTGGTTCGTAAGTGCAAGCGATAATTGTTCGATTACTACAAAAAACCCTTTCAAATGTTCTCTATATGTCAAAAAATTCCAAAATAGACTTTCTATTTAATCGCTCCTAGCGGTAGCAGAATGTTATGAATGTTGAAAATGAGAAGAAAAGCTAAGAAAAAATGATTTTTATTTGAAGCTTCACGAGGTTGGTATCTCTTCCCAATTGATTGCTCTTCTTTCCGGTCGATGGATTTTCGCAACTGCTTCTGACGTTTCGGCGATTACGCCTTCTTCAGTGCCTGAACGTATTATTCGTTGTAGCTTTATTTATGTGACTATATACTGTGAGAAGGAAAAAAAGAATAATTTGAAATTCTAGGGTATTGATAAGCGATATCTGATTCAGGGAAAAGCACTCACCTTACAATCTAATCCAGGTACCTATGTTGTTAGCGCCATGGTGACGTAAGAACCCGCTCCCATGTCACTAAGTCAAATTATGGATAGATGCCAGCTGAGACCCATGCTAGAAAATCAATCTGAGATAAGGGTCATGTGGTTGGTTATGTTAAGGCACTCTCCCTTTTTGTTCATTTGCGGGTTTCTGGAATTTATCCAGAAAGCTCCAAGGATCTCAGATTGATTTTCTAGCATGGGTCTCAGCTGGCACCTATCCATAATTTGACTTAGTGACATGGGGCGGGTTCCTACGTCACCATGGCGCTAACAACATAGGTAGTCCTTGGATTGAATTGTAGGGTGAGTGTTTTTCCCTGAATCAGATACCGCTTATCAATACCTTAGAATTTCAAATTATTTGTTTTTCTTTTTCTTCTCGCAGTATATAGTCATATAAATAAATAAAGCAACAACGATTGATATCTTCAGGCTCTGAAGAAGGCGTATTTGCCGAAACGTCAGAAGCAGTTGCGAAAATCCATCGACCGGAAAGAAGAGATTCGATTGGGAAAAGATACCAACATTGTGAAGCTCTAAATAAAGATTAGTTTTCTAAGCTGTTCTTCTCATGTTAAAAGTTTTATACTATTAACATGCCAAGGTTTCAAGAAAGTCGCTCTTTCGAGTTGTTACAAAATGTTATAAATATACCCATTGATGTAGAGTGATGTGCAAAACTTCTGCGTCAGGTAGAACTCAAACCCACATTTCACTCTATTCGAGGTTGCTTGCTCGAACCGTTGCATTACTGACGCCTCCTTCGGGTTCGAGTCTCACCGGACGCAAAAGTTTTGCGCATCAGTCTACATCAGTGGGCATATTTATAACATCTACCACCGCTAGGAGCAATTGAATTAAAAAAAATTCTGATTGATCGCTTAATACCCAATATCTGTTAGCGTGATTGAATTCACTATCGATTGCGACTACCTGATGCCATAAACTTGAAGGGTTTGCTGACAAATAGATGCGTTGTAGCGTAGAAAGTGTGGTGTCAAGCAGCGTCGGCACGCGCCCCTGAATAGGGTGAAATGTGGGTTCGAGTCCCAACTGACGCAAAAGTTTTCCACGACACTCCACATCAGTGGATTTCAGCAAAACTGTGACATATATCTATTCAAAATAACTCATTTACTCGGCGTCGAATATGGGCGAATAGAATATTTGTTAACAGTCGTTATTATTATTACACACCAACTACACTTCGATCTGAACATAATCACAGAAATGCTGCAAACTGGAACAACGAAAACCCTTTCCAGATAAGCGTGTGTTCACACTTGTTCATCAAAGCCTCGCTTTTCCCTTCTCTCAGCCACTCAGAAACTCTACTGCATCCTATCAGCAGTCAACCGTCATCGGGATTGATCTGGAATGCACAATTCGGTAATGAACCTAGTTGAACCAGAGCCATGGTTGAAATCAACCGACTACCCGGACCAGGCAGTTGACGGCTGGCAGGCTGACAGATAGATGCGCTGTAACGTAGAAAGAGCGATGTGGAAAATGGGCGTCAGTAGTGTAACGGATAGAGACGCGCATTCCCGGAAAAAGTGAGGTACGGGTTCTAGACCGCTTGGCGCCACAGTTTTGCATATCACTATATAACACTGAGTATATATTCATAACACCATACCACCGCAAAAAAAAGCTGTTAAATAAAAACAATTTCATTTGTTGTTTATAACTGTTGTGACAATCTTATATTGTGATACGTCATGTGAGCGCTTTCCTTGCAATTAAGGTAAGCATAACCTTGTGAATACAAGCATTGGTGTGATACTGCAGCTATCAACGAAAAATGTTAACAAAACCCTTCATATTCATGTCAACTGTTCGTATTTGATCAGACTGCATGTGTTATCTTATCAAAATTGATATACAGGCTGATTTATGGATCAACGCTTGCGAATAACATAAGAATACCATAGGCGATTCTCGTAATTACGTTTAGCTTTCTTCAGCAGTGAATAAAATTGAGAATTTCAGAGATATTTCCTCCAAGTATTGTTGCTCCATGCCTACGTCGACGTCCCAGCTTTAACTCTCCATGTTCGCGCCTTACTGATAGGAACTCAATGTTTTGCAACCAAACACAAATAGCTTCCTCAACATTAAGAAACAATCTTCCTGAAATGGCTACCGTGTGCATATGCAGGTCACAACGTTTTGTTCTGTTGTTATTACACGCAATTTTGCCCTTTCGATATATTTGAATTTTAGAAAAATTCGTTGACAATGGTAGTAAATGCCTGAGGTTCACTACGAGATGTTTCAATAGGAAACAAAAAGTAGCTCTTAATCAGAATCAATTATTGGCGAATTTACACGATTTTGAGGAAAATTCTTGGCAACGAGTGGTTTCGACGCTTAAAAAATCTTCGTTCTGATCGTTTGAAATATTGGACGAGCAGAAAAAATCTCACATATTTCGTCGACAGCCCACGCAGGTCATTGTATAAGCCAAATATGCATTCAGTCATCTCTGATGGAGGCGCCGTGGTCGAATGGTTGTGAGATGCTGGTCGCTGCGCGGGCGGGTCATACCCTGCCCTCCAAGGCATTCTGGCAGTCAACAACGATCGCTCTATGGAACGCCACAGCCAGTCTATGCTCAAAATTGCAAGGAGATGTGCCCAACATTATTCAGTGACGTTCAAGAAGAAGACAAAAAAAACGAATTGAATGCTAGGAGCAGTGTGATCAGCACAGTGAAAAAATTACACCATGTAAAACAGATCAATGAAGTGTCAGTAAAGTAAAGCGAAAGTAATCTCTGACTATGTTTGATGAAGTCTCATACATAGAGTTTACCTTAGAAGTTGACATCGGTAAGCGTCATGTTCACATATACGTTGATGGAAGCATAGACAATTGTATACGAGGGTGGAGCTGTCGTAAACCTGTGAAATTCTTCAGTTGCTATTTCATAGTTCGCACGGAGAACGGAGATGTGAAAATGAAACCTTCTTAGAAAATCGTTCGCAGCTGGTCATAGGACACGAACTGGCAAAAAAGTCTGCGAGCAGCAAAGGTGGTGGACTATTTAGCGATCATATAAATAGGCTCGCGGATCACAGTAGAGCTCGAGGGCACTAAACCTGCTTTGCAGATACAGTGAAGAGAACCAGAACAAAGTTGTCAGACTCACGCGATGTCTGTGGTGGGAAATCATCTAGTCATCTTTCTGCTCAAGTGGGAACAAATGCGAAAAGGAAGTTCATTTTGGGTTTCATTAGCAACTAGTTGAAGAACACTAAGTGCATTGAACGAATAACTGAAATTTTTTCGCTACTCTAACCACTCATCATTATCGAACCGTCTCAAAAATTGAAGTAGCCATTTTCATGAGCCGTGTTGATCTCCCCATTTAAACTGCCTGATTATTCGTCACAATGACGTGGCCAACATCTTTGGCACTTTCGGCACAGTTCCCGATAAGGATCGTAAATTCGGGAAGCTGTTTTTTTCATGCTATAGTTGAAGTAGGAATATGCTGAAGTTCTAAAATGAAATACATGGAATCCTACATCTTGGAGTTTTCATGGATTACTTTATTTAAATCTATGGAGTGCATTTTTATAGTTCACACTATTTCAACTGCAGTTTATTGTACTTGAACATTTTTAGCACACAACATTTTAACTGGACTTTTTGCATTATTTTCACTGGGACTTATGCCTATATGTACACCCTAGATATAGACTGATGGTTGCTAAGTATCCAACGACTTGTCACAGGTTGAGAGAAAGGTACACCTATGGCATTGATGGTGTAGTAAAAAACTAAGTTTGCCCAAAAAATGCAGTCGCTGGTTTAAAGCCACCTCAATTACCAAGCTTCGCTCATGATAAGTATTCTTGTGATTATATTCTGCGATATTTATCACAGATTTGAAGTGGTACTACAAAGGATTTGTGCAGCCTATGATACTGTTCGAAGTATTCCATAGCAAAACGCTTTGTGTTATGGTACTGTGCACTTCAAGCGTTTTTAACGCTGATTCGCTTATGTGGCTAGAGGTAACTTTCATGAAAAACCGTTTGGAAGTAACCCAGCGAGTAAATGAGATGATACTCGAGAAGGCTCACTCAGTCACACTAGTAGCGTATACTAATCGTGCAAATATTCTTCTACGGATGTGAGATTTTTGCTTTTAACCAAAAGTATGTAACAACTGCAAGAAGAGCATCTCTCATAGCCATGAATTTTATTCCTGCTGTTGTTTGACTTCTGAAGGTGTGCTATTCTTTATGGTTTCAATTATAACTCTTACCTCAGTGGAAAGCTCTAATGAGCGTGATGGGGTCTCGTGTTAGGATAGTGATGTGAAAAAAAGGTATAGACATTGAAAAGGATTTTTTCCATCATCAACTAAATTAAATTGTGAGAGATGATGAGCATCATCTTCATTCAACACAATTGCGAGTATAGAAATATTTTTTGCTTTACGATGTCCTTTCTTCGATTTTTTCTACAAAATTTCTGTTTATGTGTTAATCTTAGTCATTCTGAAAACAACTTGTTTTTCTCGGGTTTATAACAATCTAAGTGAGTAATATTATAATAAATCCGTTAAGCGTTGATTGGAGAACTGAAACATATTCAGAAAATGGTTTAAATCCTTCCATGAGTAATTTTACTCTGGTGTGGATCCATCCTCTGTCTGCCAGTCATATGCAGCATTGTTTTTTGATTCGGTACAATATATGTCTGCTTGGTATGGCGCACATTTTACTTCTTTGCCTACTTCTTCGTTCTATCCCTACTTATTCCTGAGACTAATGCTTGAGTCAAGAGTAGTGAATCTAGCAAGACATTGGCAACCTCCCGTCTTAAAATCTGTCTAATAAGTTTTTGTTCCAAGCTGAATCTGAATGTGATGTTATGCAAATGATCTTCTCTCATCCGTCGTTCAGATAATTTATTAGGAATGAGAATGATCTTCTTCTATGGGAGCTGGTGACGTAGGTGAATATCGAGTAATAGGTATCAAAAGACGTAATGGACCATAGGTAAGTGTGGAATAGTGTTTAACCACCTGAAATAACACGGTGTCTTTCAGCGTCAATGAAAAGTCTGGAATTTGAACTGTTTATTCCTAAAATATGCTACCACCCTTATGAACAGCGACAACACAACGTTAAATCTGGTCGCTAACATTTAGGAAGGCGTGAAAGTCGATATTTGAGGTATTATTCCAATTACATGCACGGTACAAGAATGGTTTATATGATGATTATAATCAGTCTTGCTTCAGTTTCACTGACGCCTTTTCCAAAGCGCAATTTGACCATCTGTCACAGGCTGTCTCTAAAGACGTTGTAGCCATGATCGTCATGTAATTGGTGTAAAAGAATTCTTGATTTCCTAAAGGTTCAGCTTATTTTGAAAAATCTATAGTTATAGAGGTATCAACAGGCGAAATTGCGTATTATTTAGCAGAAAAGTAACCTATCAGCATGACTCAGTATCGATAAAAAATATCGAAACTAAATACGAACTCACCATAAAATAATACGAAGATCACTCAATGATGGGCAATCTACAAACTACGCCCTGAGAAAGTGTTGGTCGAATGCAATGTTGATGCTCACATGGTGCAACAACACGCGCTATCCGCTGCTGCAGCGTCAGCGAAACTGGTTTGTGTGGAAGATCAAAAAAGCATATGGAAAGTGATGAAATACGTGAGGATGAGCCTGACGACAATGAGGCATAAACTGCATAAAACCTGCTAAAGAGAAATCGCCACCGAGACTGGTTAGTGGAATTGCTAATCATCACTTCTGTTTGTTTGCCATGACGAATTTTTACCCTCTCTCTTGCTCTCCCTAACTACGTCACAGTGATGATGAAGTGTGTTCTGTTTGCAGGACGGATTCACCAACGCCTCCTTCCAACCGCGATTCCAGATAAGCGTCCTGTACTTTCTACAACGATCAACCACCATCTCTAGAGTTGATTCATTGCGCCCTATAGGGCAACAGCTGATGAAAAAAAGTCTTTTTTCAAAAAGTGAAGGTTGAACAAACGAAGACTTGTTTCAGATTACACTT